ATGTTATCCGATACTATGTTATATATTGGACTCGTGTATATTTCTTTTCTACTGTGGCTCACAATCGGATACTGTGTTATATATCTGTCCCTCAAATTGTTCCAGTTTGCCCACGGGGAACTCTTTCAGATCGGCTGCCACGTTCCTTTGACATGCCCCAATCCTTCCCCACCCCCAGCCCAGTATATTAACTTTTGATGTAAAATTTGGTTTTCTTCCTCACCAATCTACTGAAACTGCTCTAAGGTCTTTTCGATTACAACGGTCTCTAGATTGCCAGGTCAAAGTCTACTCTTCCGTTCTTAGTTTACCAGACTTTTCTGTGACAATACTACTCATCTCTTTCTTTCAAAGTGCATTTCATTTTCCAAAAATTTGCTATGGCATTTTCAAACACAGACCACGCTAGAGAAAAGGGCGTACTCGACCTCCGTGTACCCATCTCCCAGCTTAAGTGGTTCTCGAAGTTTTGCTCACCTTGTTTCAAGGGTCCCCTCTCACGCTCTCTACCACCTCCGTGTACCCATCTCCCAGCTTAAGTGGTTCTCGAAGTTTTGCTCACCTTGTTTCAAGGGTCCCCTCTCACGCTCTCTACCACTGGAACACTTCAGAGGGAATCCCAGGCGTCCCACGAATTCACCGATAAAGAGTACAGTGTCTTGAACAGGTCAGAACTTTAAACAAACAAACAAAACAAAACCCATACGCACAGAACAACTATTACACCTAAGAAAATAAACAAGTCTTTAATATCCTCTAGCAGTCCACATTCAAATTTCCCAAATTAAAAAAAAAATTAATGTTTATTTTTGAGAGACAGAGACAGAGAGCAAGCAGGGGAGGGGCAGAGAGAAGGGGACACAGAATCCGAAGGAGGCTCCAGGCTCTGAGCTGTCAGCACAGAGCCTGATGTGGGGCTCGAACTCATGAACCGCGAGATCATGACCTGAGCCGAAGTTGGACGCTTAAGTCACTGAGCCACCCAGGCATCCACAATTTCCCAAGTTGAATAATGAATTTGTTCAAATTAGGGCCCACACAAAGTGCACACATTACATCTCATACCAGTTCCCCACTCCTGCCACCACCCCTTCTCCAACGTACTTTTGTAAAGGCCATTGATTGAAGAAACTGGGTTTTCTGTCCTATCAAATTTCTTACATTCCTGATTGTATCTTCATAGTGCCTTTAAAATTTTTTTTTTAAAAATATTTATTTTAGAGAGAGAGAGAGAGACAGAAGCAGAGACAGAGCATGAGTGGGGGAGGGACAGGCTGCAGGCTCCAAGCTATCAGCAGAGCCTGATGTGGGGCTTGAACTCAGGCACTGCGAGATCACGACCTGAGCTGAAGCCGGATATGCAACCGACTGAGCCACCCAGACGCCCCATTCATAGTGTCTTTTAACATGTTAACCTACTCCTTGAATTTCTTGTAAGCTAGTAATTAGATAAAGTCTAATGAGATTCTGTATGTGTGTATATATGTATTTGCAGTATATTTGAGATCTTTCTCTATCTCAGTATATCTATCCATATATTTGCCAAAAATGTTTCTTTGGTGGTGAAGTCAACTTCCTAATGCGTCACACAGTAAAAGCCGTATTGTCTGGCTGTCCCACTTGTAATTTTCCCTTTTGAGACGCCTAGCTCCTGGCTGTCTTCCTCTTTATCTCTGCCATTTCTTCTCGGTTCCCTTCACAGACTCCGATGTTTTCAAGTCATTGTTCTTCAGGACCCCCGTGTCACCGGCCCGTTCCTCCTTGTCTATATAGATGGTCTCCTTTTCCATATCCAGACGGTGAGGACTCAAAAGTCTGTATTCAAAAAGATTTTTAACATTTATTCATTTTTTGAGAGAGAGACAGCACCAGTGGGGGAGGGGCAGAGAGAGAGGGAGACACAGGATCCGAAGCAGGCTCCAGGCTCTGAGATGTCAGCACAGAACCTGGCACGGGGCTCGAACCCACGAACTGTGAAATCATGACCTGAACTGAAGCCGGATGCTTAACCAACCGAGCCCCCCAGGTGCCCCAAAAGTCTGTATTTTGTGTAGCCCCTCTCCACTGACTGGCTACACAAGCTCCTCAAACTCTGTCCCAAATGGAATCAGTTCTTCATCCCAAACTGCCTCGTTGTTTTCTTTACCTCAAAGACTAGAACCGCCATCCAAGACGGAAACCTGAGCCATCCTAGACTTTTCCCCGCCTGCCCCCAAGTCTCCAAGCCAAAGAACTTTCTACCCTCTGTATCTCAAGTGCCTCCCCTTTTCTTCTAGCTGCTGTAGCCTCAGTTCTAAAATTCAGACAAAGAGTGCATGTGCACTATCCAAAGTCACACCTTTTCAAGCAGAGCCGGGACGTAGAAGCTCACCCCGTGCTCCAGCATGGAATATGCTGGAATCTTGCTGAGGGCTCTCATCAGCTCCAGACTCTTTGCTGTGCTTCGGATATACTGTGCTTTGCACATATTGTGAATACGGTTGTAGAGGGCGACTTCGGCAGGGTGAAGCGGCCCAAAGCGGGGAGTTTAGGGCTCAGCATACCTGGGCTTCACGCTCCCGTCGGCCACTGAACGCGGACTTGGTTAAGCTGGTGACTTTCTCTGTGCCGTTTCCTCATCTCCACCACAGGAGTGCCGTGCCTTCACCGCTGTTCTGAAATCCGCGAAGCCCCGGACGCTGGCAGGTGTGCGTGTGTCTTAAATAATTTGTTTGGCAGCTAGACCTGATTTGCCTGTTAGGATTTGATGACAAGAGCTGACCTGAATGGAATTGAGGGTATTTATGGTCTTTACTTGTCCCACTGAGAATATTACTGACAAGTGTCTGTGATGAGGGGTGTGCTGGCCTGGCCCACCGGGCCAAGTTCTAGGACATGTTGTTTTACTTTTCAAAAGTACCCCAGCGCCTGCATTCTGCAACACGCCTGACGGAAGGGTTGTGGAAAACAGGCCGTGTGGCTGAAACAGCTACTCCACGCATCTGTCGTACAGGTTAATTGCTACAGAAATTAGTATTCATAAAGCAATTAGGAAAGCATGTGCCCAGAGCCCCGCAGGAGTGTTTGATAAACACACCACATAACGGGTAACCCTGTGAATGAAGTGAAAGATGAACTATTTTTTTAACATGTATTCTTTTTTTTTTAAATATTTTTATTTATTTCTAGGGGAGAGAGAGACAGCGTGAGCAGGGGAGGGTCAGAGAGAGAGGGAATCACAGACTCTGAAACAGGCTCCAGGCTCTGAGCTGGCAGTCAGCACAGAGCCCGACGCGGGGCTCGAACCCACGAACCGCGAGATCATGACCTAAGTGAAAGTCGGACGCTTAACCGACTAAGCCACCCAGGCGTCCCTAACATGTATTCATTTTTGAGAGACAGAGAGACGTAGCGCAAGCAGGGGAGGGGCAGGGAGAATCTGAAACGGGTTCCAGGCACCGAGCTGTCAGCAGAGCCCGATGCAGGGCTCGAACCCACAAACCGCAAGATTATGACCTGAGCCGAAAGATAAATTATTTTATGTCAGAGGAGAGTCTGAGGAATTCGGGGGCTTCCACCAAAGCAGGGATCCTACCGTCGCTCTTCTGTTGGAAAGAAATTAAGTATCAGAGAGACAGAAACCGCCCCCTTGAACAGCCCTCCCATCCTCTCCCCGCTCGGAACCGCTGTTTTGAAACTGGTGTGGGTCGTGTCCGTGCAGGCTTCTTGGTTTTCGCACACACATGTGCATCCGGGTATGTAGTTGCTTTTAGAACCAAGGACGATCCAGCCCCAGACGTCAATAGCACGGAGGCTGAGAAGCCCGGCCCTTAGCCTCGCCTCCTTGCACTCTTTCTCACTCTCTTCCTTACCCTCACTTCTGCACCCTCTTCCCCTCACCTCCCCCCACCTGCACAGGCCTCCAGCAGCGCACACCTGTCTGCCCCCCCCCCCCCAATGCCAGACAGAGCAGTTCACGCCCAACGGCTGGGCTGCTGCCCGTCCAGGGCGGCTCTGCAACTGGGCCTGAGCCACGCGTACTGTCTTTATCTGCGGGAGTTCAGCACGAGAACACGAGAGCTACTCAAGATCTGAAATTGTAGTCATGTGTCACCTCAGGGGAAGTTAATTCTGATGTTTGTCCCCAGGACCCAAGGGCAAATTACAGCTCCAGGAACACAGGGAGAGCCTGGAAACACAAGCACCACGGGCTGATGAAAGTAATGCGTTTGTCTCGGGGCAGGGGCCGAGCTGCGGCGCTAAATGTTCTTCGGGAGAAGCCGTGTCGATACTAAATCTCTTCCCCCACCTTTGATGGATGTGCTAATCTTCTCAGGTCAACGTGGGCTCGCCCAGGCAACACGCTGTAATAACTTATTTAAAAGGCAGCTGGCGTTTATAAATGGACTCTTCCATCAAGTTTTAGATTTCCATCCTCAGAAATGTTTTCTCTTCCCAAAGCAGTATTTGCTACACAGTCAGAGCTCAATTACACTTTTTCTGCAACAGGGGAGACTGCAGAGGTGACGTTTGCGGGTTATTGTTCTTTGCTCTCAATTCTGTGTGACAGTCAAGCTCTGTAGAGATGACGAGATAACCAGAAGGTCAGAGAGGCATTCTCATTCCATTAGAGCAGGGGTCGCCAAATTACTGCCCATAGGCCCAATCTGGCCCAAGGCCTGTTTTTATAAATAAAGTTTTATTGGAACACACTGACACTCATTTCTTTACTTGCTGTCTATAGCTGCTTTCATGCTGCAAGGGCGCAACAGAGTAGTTGCAAAGCGGCGGCCTGCAAAGCCAGAAATGTTAACTCTCTGGTCCTTTGTGGAACACGCACACTGACCTCTACATTGGCGAGAAGCGCTCTATGTCCTGCTGTAACATTTTCAGTGGGGGCTAATGGAGCTCGAGCAGGGGAGGACATCTGACTCATTTAAAGCATTTGTGTAGAACTTCAGTTGGGTTAAAGGCAGGACAGAAGAAAATAGAAAAAGGCAAACAAACAGATACAACAAAAATCACTAGGCAATATCTCTGAGGACTTTAATGAACTAACTGAACACGATGATTAACCTCAAAATCAAGTGTAAACTACATGGCGATGGTACCTGTCTTGCCGACTTCAAGTGGCCAACACGGCACCCCTCCGATGGGCCCCCTGGGACTTTGGTGAACGTGCCTATTTCTCAGGCCCAGAGACGTTTCCCTGAGACGACGCGCGGGAGAGGTTTAGGGAACGCGAAGGGAAGCGGGTGGTGGGTGGGCGCGCTGCGGCCGCGGCTCAGAACTTGAGCGGAATGACCGGCCAGTATTTGGGCTGCTTCCTGTCACAGTGCTTGTTGAAGCTCAGCTGCACGGCGGCCTCCATGGCCTGGATCTTGGCGGCGCTGGCCCCGTACAGGCGCGTCATCCGGGCCTGGCGCCGCTCGCCGGGCCTCTCGGAGGGGGGCTCCACCGAGCGCCGGGTGCCGTCGTACAGGCCGTGGTCGGCGTTCACGTAGTCGGCCAGGCGCTGGGCGTCCAGCTGCTTCTGCCGCCCTGAGAAGGAAGGGACACGGGGCAGCAGGCTGAGCGCGGGGACGCCCCGCCCCGCGCGTCACCCGCACACCATCGCCCCCGCGGTCCGGGAACGCGCCGTTGGTTCGCTCATCCCGGAGGCTCACGCTGCGAGACACGGCAAAAGGCCTCCAGGAAGCGTGTCGCCCAACACCACCAAACCTCTGCGTGGAGCCCCGAAACTCGGGCTCGCTCTCTTTCGTGTACGCGGCCTGCCCACAACCCGGCCGGCTGGGCCCCGCTGGGGCAGCTCGCCTGCTTTCCCACTGCCCCGGGGCCAGCAGGGAAATGACGTGCTTTCTGGAAAAGTCCAGGGCTGCAAGAAGTAGTACTTCCGCCCACAAATGAGTCGCTGGGGGAAAAAAGTCAACCCCGTGTTAGAGGCACTGATTTTGGGTAACCTGCAAAAGAGCCAGTGCCGGTAACCACAGAATCGCAGCGACGACCGGCGACCGGCCACGCGTCCAAAGCACAGAGCCCCCCCGGGCAACGGGAAGTCAAATGATGCAACACTTGCTCAAGGTAACAGGGCAGAGCAAGGGCAGTTCTGCCAACGCAAGGAAGACCCGACTTCTAATCTTCCTGCTGTATTCGCAGATCTGCAACAGCGTGGGGACTTCCTCACTATGGGATTTGACTTTATACTTCACAGATGAGCTTAGGCTAAATTTCGAGTGATAAAGTTATCTGCTTTTAATCCTAATTATTTTCTTTCTCTCTCTCCCTCCTTCCTTCCTTTCTTTGGAGACAGAGAATGTGCTCGCAAGAGAATATGAGCGGGGATGGGGAAGGCAGAGAGAGATAGAGAGAGACAGAGACAGAGAGAATCCCAAGCGGGCTCTGCACAGACAGCGTGGAACAGGATGCGGGGCTCGAACTCATGAACCGTGAGATTGTGACCTGAGTGGAAATCAGGAGTCGGAGGGTTAACTGACTGAGCCGCCCAGGCACCCCTAATCCTACTAATTTAAATGGATTCTTGTAAAGCAAGAAATTAAATCTATTCTCCCTTCTATTTTTACTAAATCGAGTCCTAATATCAGAACTTTTATGCTTCTGTAAACAGAAGTAACAATGAAACAATGATGCATATGGTGAAATTTGGCCAATGGACAGATTTTTGTAAGCAACTCTGTCGAGAACAGAGAAATAGACAGTAGAAGGCACACATCTGTAGCTACTATTGCTAACGAAAAATGCTACTGAATAAGGAGTGAACATGGTTGTAGGGGATAAAACAATGATATAAACCATTCTTTCTTTGTTAAAAAAAAAAAAAAAAAGAGCAGAATGAAACCTTAGTAGAGGAGGGAACCCAAAAGCGAGTGGCAAGATACGTCTGTGGCAGTCACACTCCTAAGCCCGTTCTTCACAAACATCACCTTGGAGCTGAAGGGAAGGAGTTCTGGAAACTTGGAAACACCGTAAAATGTGGAGAGTCACTTCTGACTTAGCACATCTGCAGTTTATTTCTTATACAAGGAGGTAACCTACGGATATGCCAGGTGACCGTCAAGGAAATAAATGCAACGTAACTGTTACCTCATCCACAGAAGAGAGGCAGTCATCTTACTGTGAAATGCAGAGCTAAACCAAATATTGGCGTAATGTGCACATGAATGGGAGGGCAGTAAGCATCTGCTGCTCATTTTTGGTCTTTCTGCCAAGGCTGAAACCTTAGGATGTTAAGTGTTCAGTTCTCACGGGTGTTTAGATTGTATATCCCCGCCCTCCAAGGACTACTCTTCTGAAAGTGTGGCATTTCCACATTAGCCAAGGACAACAGACTCCCTCTGCCACCTACGGGAGCCCTGGGCGAGTTGCTGATCCTTGGGCTTGTTTCCTTGTAGGTCCAGGGCAAACAATCCCATTGGTGGGGGCGGGCGGGGGCGGCATGGGGGCCCCAGAGCGCACGCATCTAGAGGGCAGAGATTCCCAGACCGCAGTCCTTTTTACTTTCCGATTTGTCCCAAGCCTGTAATCAGCTTCACTGACAGATCTAGTGACACAACAGATGTTCAACTTCCTGTCTAAATTGGAGTCTTTGCGTTGAGAATTTTTTTTTTAATGTTTTCATTCATTTTTGAGAGAGAGAGGGAGACAGAGAGCACAAGTGAGGGAGAGGCAGAGAGAGAGTGGGAGACAGAGGATGTGAAGTGGGCTTTGCACTGTCAGCACAGAGGCCAACATGAGGCTCAAACTCACGAACTGTGAGATCATGACCTGAGCCGAAGTCAGACGCTTAACCAACAGAGCCACCCAGGCGCCCCGCATTTATAAGTTTTAATCAATACCGGGATCCTCGCTCTCTCAGCAAGTGTTGCTCTCTGATGCTAGGATATGCACACTTCACTTTCTTACTTTGCATCTTTCTCTTTTCCTTATAACTGAACATGGTTCTAATTATGGTGCTTTCTGCTACTCTTCTGACCAAAACGATCTTACAGACAGTAAATCAGTATAACAATTCTACATCGAGATGTTTTCTCTGATCGTTGACATCTGTCAATGAAACACCGCTAGTCACAACCGACCGCAGCCACCGAATCAACATAGCAGTGCACTTCCCAAGTTCACACGTGGCATGTGCCCAGGGGTTCCCACCACAGGGGTTCAGTTAACAAAGCTCGTACAGTGTAAAAGAATAAAAAGCACAGTCCACCGCTCTCAGTTCTTTACGTGTACCTCTTTCCCGTTCAGGTTTCCTTATGAAAATTTGGGGCTCAACCCTTGTCCTCTCTCTGCCTCACAGGAGGCCCAGAGCTTTCCCGGTTTCCAGGGTGGCACGTAGTTGCCCTAAAACATAGACGCAAGGGGTGGGAAGCCCATCCCCTGCACTGCCTGGCCAGTGCCAACACCCGCCAGTGGAATGGGATATGTGCGTTTGAAGGCATCACTTACTCTGCTTTCTGTCTATTGCTTTCTTCCTCCCAATGACAGAGAGGATTCTCAGTCACTAGCAGTTTTTCTTCCTGTCAAAACAAGGTGAGGGCTCAACCAGATGGAGACTCTGACTGAAGCACAACATCACACTTCAGACGTAACTGAATAGGTGCTGTGTCATGGAGAAGGTGGTCATTTTTTCCCTGAAAACGGCTGTGGGACTCAACGTTACCCAGTGCTTTTTTCTGACAGGCTGTCCAGCCATGGGGCTTTGTTTGAATACAAATCAGAATATCTGTCTAGATCCCAGCTCTAAAACAGGGCTCTAGTGGGTTCAATAGTGTCCCATCCAAATTCACACCAACATGAAACCTCAGAATACGACCTTCTTTGGAAACAGGGTTTTTGCAGATGTAATTATGGCTCAAGATGGGATCGTACTGGATTAGCACAGATCCTAAACCCAATGAAAGTGTCCTTATGAGAGACAGAAAAGGACACAGAGAGACACGGGGGAAAACGATGTAAACATGGAGATAGTTGGAACTATGCTCCCACAAGCCAGTGAATGCCAGGAGCCACCAGAAGCTGAAAGCAGCAACGTCCCAGAAACTTCTGGAGGGAGTGTGGTCCTGCTAACACCTTGATTTCGGACTTCGACCTTCCAGAACTGTGAGAATAAATTTCTGTTGCTTTAAGCCACCCAATGTATGGTACTTGTTACAGCGGTCCTGGTAAACGAGTATCACGGTTCATACACACATAGGGCTCAAAACAAGAAAAACAGTGACATCCTGTTAAGGAAGTGCTACTGGATCCCGTCTGGGTTCAGGACGTATAAGCTTGACATTTCCCCCCTCAATCTATAAATTCGCGTGACGTTACCAATGTGGACTTAATCTACAAAGGAAAACAAAATCACGAGAAGTGACTTGGATTTTAGAAGACGTGACACAGGGCAACATTCATTCAGTATTCCATAGATAATTAGCCCAAAGGCAGAACGTTTTGGAGGAGACAGCACTAAGACGAGTGTTGAAGAATGTTATTGTTCCTCGTTTTTCTATGATAAGCAAGGCTTTCTGGTCGTACTCTCTGCTATGCTGCCAGAATTAATGATCTGAGCACAGGGGCGTGAAAGCACAGACGATTTCTATCACGAACGACTCATTTCTGCCTCGTCGGCCCCCTCCGGGAACACAGGTGCCTGCCAGCAGGCCTGGAGCTGTCTCTGATGGGTGTCCGTCCTCAGCCCACATCCCTCTCTCCATGACAAATGAAGCCAGTGTATGATTACCATTTCACTTTGGGGACAAAGGTGCATCTCCATCCCCCCCGCCCCACTTTTCTGCAGTGCAGGGCTCAGTCGGTACGATTCCACGCTTTCATCTCATCGACTAAACCACAGCAGCTCACTAAATACTGGGTTGTACGGTTCGCCATATGCTCCCGGTTTTCCAGAGGGTGGACTGAGGGCGACCTGGATGGGGTTCCAGCTGACTGACTGAAGGTTTGGGTCAAAACTGGAGTGTAAACCTTCCGGCTTCAGTGGACTCCACATGATGGGGCACATGTCTCCCATCAGGTATCTAAAAGCACCTGGGGCCCTATGGTCAGGACAGCACTCAAAGCCTAGAGCACACTCCATTTTCCACCACTTCCCCGTGAAGCTTCTCCTCTGACGGCAGAATTCACTGGCTCTGCCCCCTCACTGCCAAAGTGCCTGTGGACTATACCACAGACAGCTCTTCTAGGTATCAGTTTTAATGTGATGTCATCTCCTCTTCTCAACTGAGTTTAAGCTCTTTCTGGACATGTCACGGTTTTGACCCAACAGCTACCCAGAAAACACAGGGAATGCTACCTGGTTGGCTCAAGGCTGAGACACCAGTGGCCGTGTGTGTCGGAGGGCCGTCTCCCCCACTGGGGATCACTTTCACGCATTCTCCTATTAGGACTGTAACCTTGCAGTCTCGGTGGTTATTTATGACTTAAACGGGGTACTTTTCTTAACCTAACAGTAAGCATTTTTTCCTAAGAAATAACCGAAAACATAGCTGACCTTTAAAACGCCACAACTGTCTACTTTCCCATAAGTATTGTTATCATTGAAGTTTTGAATAACGGAAATATCTCTTCAGGAAATGACATATAACGTAATCAAAAACATGTCTGTTCCCAGTGCACAGGAGTTTATTTATCTTACTTAATTTTTTGGTTAGCATTAAAGTACGTTCGAGATTATCTGGAAAAGCAGTGATCACAAATAAAAACACGCTCTCCAGCACGAAGGATTTTATTCTAAGAAAATATTAAATAAGACTCAGATGATGGTGCTGATGATGAATTATATAACATACATGTTCTCGGGGAAGTGAATAATACTGAAAAACAAAAGCTCTCAAGTTTAGCTATGTTTTTTCCTGCTAGTGGAATTTCATAAAATTCTGTGTTTTCTAGACAATCTATATTCAAGGCTGAACTAGCCTTTATTGAATAAGTAGCTTCTAGTGGTTCAAAACAGGAAAACAAAACAACTTTAATCAAGTATTCACACCACTCAGGTCCCTAATTGCTGTTAAAATATATCCCAAATGTGTATGTAACTAAACTTCCATGAACATTTCTAGTGAAGGTAATAGATTGGAAAGCACTTCCATCTGAGTTCAATCCTTCGTTACTGCTCAAAGGAACATGTGTTTATCCTACACGCCACTAAAAGTGCTGGTGAAAAAAATAATGCCCGATTGTTTTCAGGGTGTAGGGTCAGGCCCCGGCAGCTTCTCAGTCTTTGGCGGTCAGATGAGACTCTGACACCGCAGCATGTTCTCACCCGTGCCAGACAATCTCCACGTCTCCCAAAGACCTGGTAATATCTCCGGGGCTCACCACAGGGCACAAAGGCATCGCGGAGACCCTATGACAAGTAGTTTTCAGTCATGCTACACTACACATTCAGAAAGCATAAAGCAGCAAGAAGCTCAATGCATTTAGCGCTGTTATGAGTAATATGAAAGTGCATTCCTTTTCCCGTGTATATTATTAAGTTGTATCAAGCAAGAAATGTCCTTGAAAGAGTGAACTAAAAGTTGTATTAATCACTACTTTGATGAAACAGTGTTAATGACTAGACTGGAGAGACATCAAGACTGGAATTCTTTTGCTTTTTAAATATTCTAAACCAATTTAAGAATTCTGAAAAGTGCAGAGTAGAAATATGACTTCTTTTGAAGCCACAAAACATCTTTTATTAAAAACGTACAGGGGTGCCTGGGCGGCTCAGTTGGTTGAGCATCCAACTTTGGCTCAGGTCATGATCTCACGGTTTGTGAGTCCGAGCCCCGCATCAGGCTCTGTGCTGACAGCTCAGAGCCTGGAGCCTGCTTTGGATTCTGTGTCTCCCTCTCTCTCTGTTCCTCCCCTGCTCACTCTGTTTCTCTCTCCTTCAAAAATAAACATTAAGGGGCGCCTGGGTGGCTCGGTCGGTTAGACGTCTGACTTCGGCTCAGGTCATGACCTCACGGTTCGTGGGTTTGAGCCCCGCGTCAGGCCCTGTGCTGACGGCTAGCTCAGAGCCTGGAGCCTGTTTCAGATTCTGTGTCTCCCTCTGTCTCTGACCCTCCCCTGCTCATACTGTCTGTCTGTCTGTCTCTCTCTCCCTCTCTCTCTCTCTCTCTAATAAATAAAACATTAAAAAAAAATACACATTAAAAAAAAAGTGCAGAATCTCAGTGAACCACTAACCCACACAAAGAGCATCCCAGTAACATATGGTTAAGGAGCCACATTAGAGGATGAGTTATTAGCAACTAACCGTAACAACTAACATTTCCTGGGCACAGACTTCGTACAGAGCACAGTTCCAGAACTTTCTTTTATTGTCTCCTTTAACTTTCATAACTTCCACTCCACGAATGAGGATCTCTACCTCAAGTGAGGGGAATGAGGGCCAGACTGGTTAGGGCAGGTGACCTGCAAGGCAAGACCGCTGGTGGACAAATGGCAGAGGTGGGCAGGGCCCCGTGATTTGAGCGGTTCGACCACCACCAGCCCTGTATGATGTTAGTGACAAGGACGTACATATGGAGGAGGAAGGTTAAAGGTGAAGGCTGTACGGGTTCTCATAACATCCACTCTTTTATCTGTTTGCTATCTAGATCATGGTAAAACAGATATGTACTAGTTTCTTCACAGCGATGGCAACCTGTGCCCTTTGCTTCACGTCCCCTTGCAGAAGAAAATTCTCAGAGGCAGGGGGACTGTATTAGTTCCCTTGGGCTGCTGTAACAAAGCTCCGCAAACAGGTGGCTTGGAACGACACAAATCTCTTGTCTCACAGGTCTCAAGGCCAGAGATACGGGATTAAGGTGTGGACAGGGTTGTGCTCCCTCCGAAGGCACTAGGGAAGCCTAAGTCTTTCTCCTGGCTTCCAGTGACAGAGCTCCAGTCTTCACATGGCCTTCTCCTGGGTGCACGTCTGTCTCTATGTCCGAATGTTTCCCTGTTTATGAGGACACCGGTCCTAAGTGGGTCGGGGCCCACCCTAAACACCTCATGTTCACTTGTAAGACCCTATGTCTGGGGAAGGCCACATCCTGAAGGGGGTTGGGGGGGAAGGTTAGGCCTCCAACCAATCTTCTTTTTTAGGGAACACGAGTCAACCTGTAATAGTGAGGATTACAGTGTCATCTGGAGGCCTGAAGTAAGCTCAGTGATTTAGGAATAAGACACAATAGGAGGTTCATCAAGTTTATAAACGATTCAAAGCCTAACTCACTTTGTACAATGTTCCACGCAAATGGAGCAAGTTGAGCACTTTGTGTGATATTTCAAAACCTCTGATCTAAGGCTCATGATTAATACTGAAATACCTCATTCATTCATTCCAAACAATATTCAGCACTGGGCATGACTTAGCAGGTGGTTTCCATGGCCTTTGGTTTAACTTCCCTGGAACTCTACCTGACTGAGTAAGAGGGATGGGACAGTTCGCAGCCATATCTGAACCTGAGCTGCTTACGGTGGGAAGCTACACTGCGTTACTGTATTTTAATTACACTCAAGTCTATTTTCTATCGGATAACTATGTATTGAGTTTATTTGAAATCAGTGGATAAATCAAAATGTCTTTTAGAGGACTGGGGTTTGCTGCTGTCCTTAATGAGAACTTCTCTCATAAAAATGTCAACCTCTGGTGGGAAAAACACCTTATTTTACTCTTTGGTAAGAACAACAGAAAGAAATCCCACATTCGTCATATTTGCTTTTCGGAAAGCTGTGAAAAAGAGCATTCCAACCAAATGTGGATATGCTTGAACATCTCCTCTCCTTCACTGTTGTGTACTTTCAAATTAGACTTAACAGTTTGTATGTATTCTGTCAAAAAGGTAGAATTTATTTCTTAAGATGAGGGAAAGAAATGTATTTTATGTAAAATAGAAAGCACTGTTTTAAAAATACTTGTTTGGGTACACTTTTTACTTTTTATTTGAGAGAGTAAGAGCGTGTGAGTGAGTGAGCATGAGCAGAGGAGGCACAGAGGGGGAGGCAGAGACAGAGGGAGAGAGGGGTAGAGAGACGGAGCGAATGGGAAGGGGGTAGAGAGAGAGAGGGAGAGGGAGAGAGGGAGGGAGAAAGAGGGAGAGGGAAAGGGAGAATCTTAAGTAGGCTCCACACTCAGCTCTGAGCCCGATGAAGGGCTCGATCTCATGAACTGTGAGATCATGACCTGAGCTGCAATCAAGAGTCAGACCCCCTGGAAAGTCCCGTGTTAAAACGTCTCTGGAGCGCGGCAGGGCTGAGGCGGGGCTGGACGTGGCGCCCCAGGAACCTACAAAACGAGCCCGAGGGCAGAAGACGACGCAGAAGGCGGGGCGAGGGAAGGGGGGCACGGGTCCGGGTCACACTTACGTCGCTCCTCCCTGTGCCGCTCGGTCTCGGCGAAGTACTGGCGCAGCTCCTCGGTGATCTCCATGTTGCTCAGGTCGCACTCCACGCCCCCGTCCGACTCGGCGTCCGCCTCGTCCCGCGCGGGCCGCGGACGCTGCCCGGGCCTCCTGGCGTGCGAGTGACCGCGGCGCGAGTCCGGGAGGCCAGGCGGGCGGTCACGAGGCGGCCGAGGGGGCCCGGCCCGGTTGGCGCAGGAGCTCCTGGGCGGCGCCACGGCCGGGAGGGACCAGGGGCCGGCGAAGTAAGACTCCATGGCCTTCCTGTAGGCACCGTGGTGGCTACGCATCCACGCCATCGCCTGATGATAGTGTCGCCAGTATCTCGCGTACACGGGGTGAGAAGACCAGGGCTCGGCGGGGTGCCGCGCTGCCGCCTGCAAGATGCCGGGAGGCGGGGGCTGCACTCCGCAGCAAGACACCCCCCAGTGTTTAAGTGACGAGGCAACAAGTATCTACTAAAGTACCGAGTAACCACTAAATACCTACTCCCCATCAGGGTGCTACTCCTGTGCCAGGGGTCACAGGACAGGCCCCCGCCCACAGGAGATACCAAGTGTATGCACGTGAGCTCTGAAGTGCGCACGGGGCAATCAGTTTAAGGTTATGGCCATGATAAAGTGGGGGCAGAGGCTCGTAAGTATCATTCTTAGATAAGATGCAGGGAGAGGGGCACCTGAGTGGCTCAGTCGGTTGGGCATCGGACTTCCGCTCAGGTCAAGATCTCACTGTCTGTGAGTTCCAGCCCCGCGTCGGGCTCTGTGCTGACAGCTTGGGGCCTGGAGCCTGCTTCCGATTTGTTCCCCGCCCTACCCGGCTCATGCTCTGTTTCTCAAAAGTAAGTAAACATTAAAAAAAAAAAAAAAAGAAAAAAAGGCAGGGAGAGATAAGGACATCAAGCATCTTGGCCCGCTCTATCCACTGTAAGTAACCTGTGCGTTCCAGGAACCACGCGCACTGAGGAGCACATGTTCTCTGGCCCTTCCCTCTCTGCTCCCTAAACACCCTGGCCCGGCTCACTCCTCGGTGCCCAGACAAAAGAGCTCTAGCAACCTACCCAATGGTGCCTTTGCTTTGAGTTTTCCGATGTTACTTCTTTCTTTGGTCTTCTCCATCATAGACTGAGAACCCCAAGACTCTAAAGACTAAAATTTACCTTTTTCTCTTATGAGTTAAAAAAAACAAAAGAAAACTCCTTACCTTTGCTGCCATCTGTGATGGCGGAAGTCCGAACGGGCACTGAATCTAGGAAGGGGCAAGCACAGTGCGAATGCGTGGTCAGGACGCGTGGGCCAAGTTCAGAGGCTGCCGCCTCATCTTCACGCGACACACACTACCGCCCCGCCACCTGGGTTATGGCCTTGTGGGCTGAAAAGGAGGGATCCCCTTAGGTACGATTAAGGAGCTCAAAGGACACTGCATTTTTCAAATATTTATTTACCTATTGCAAGACCGAAGAGAAGTGTTATCGTTTGTAGCTAGCGCATATATAAAAAATACCAATACAGAACATGAATTAAAAACACACAACATTCCTTCATTTCCTAAGCCTTAACTCATGCCGATGCCTGTTTAAATTAACCCTAGATGACCCCACGGCTTGAACAGAATACATCTCGCCAACTCCCTGGAAACCGCGGTTGGGTCTTGCCTTGGATCTGGGCCTCGGAGAAGCCTCTCCAAAGGAGATCTCTTTCCAGCGTGGGTTGTGCCCTGGGCTTTAAGCCCCGAGATGAGCCTTGATTTGGTTTTGACCCTGATAAACCTCTCTAGGTGTGGTGTGACAGCACGCTCTCCCTGCTGATCCACTGTGCGTGGCTTTGGGGGAGAAGCTATTCATTCCACAGGGACTCTGCACCAAGCGACTGCACAGAATGCCTCTGCCCGAAGGCCTTGCTCAGCCAGGATTTCCTCCTCCGGCCCCCTCCCAGCTGCTTCTGACTTCACTCATGCGGCAGAGGGTACCCAAAGGTGAAGTTTAATCTGCAGCGGTACCTTTTAGAACCGATTTAAAACAGTTTTCTTTTTTGCACTCCTGTTCAGTTCAGAGCTACTAGAATACCAGCAAGTGTGAGAATGTACTTAAATTAAAAAAAAAAAAAAAAAAAAAAGGTTAAGCAAAATATCCTGGGGCGCCTGGCTGGCTCAGTCGGTGGAGCATGGGACTCTTGATTTCAGGATCATGAGTTCGAACCCCATGCTGGGCGTAGAGATTACGTAAAAAAACAACAGAAATAAAAATTAAAAAATAAAACAGAAGTAATATCCTAAAATGCATGAGAATGTAAGCGTCTGTGAGATGAAATCACTAACAACGTGATGCTGAGCAAACAGCTACTTGGGTTTTGAAACTCGGGGAAATCAGACACAAGGAGGCCTGTTTCCTCCTTCACTTAATTAGAGGGTGGAATTTAAAAATCTCTAAGCCTTAAGTAATAAACTTGACTTATTTTGTAATCTCTATCAGATGTTTTGCTATGGTTAATGTGGAAAATTGAGATGTTAAATTGACCACATCTTTTAAGATTTGGCCTGAAGAAAACCATTCACGTTCTTTTAAAATATACTAAGCTTTCAAAAGTAGGCGATTTCTAAGAGTGCTGACATGATCTTCTGAAAATTTATTGTAAACATAGCCCACACTTCCTGTTCCCTGTTCTAAATTCAGGAATACACACACAAGCAGTGAATATAAACTGGGAAAAAGCTAACCAATGCAGTGAAAATATAAGTGTAAATTAAGTCCACGTTACTTTAGAACTATAAAAGTTTAAGACATATAAAATAAATAACTAAACATTTAAAATGTGAGCACTTATCTGAAACCTTGGCTAACTCCGATGTGCTTTACAGGCTACTGAAGAAATATAAAAGTCAATACAATTAAGGGGTTAACCACTCAGAGAAGTAACACTGACACAAATGAAATTACGGTGGAAATCAGTACACACTTGAGTGCTAAGCTGTAAGGTTCAGCCTATGAGTGGCTAATTCCTTCCAGCTGGGTTTCGTATTTAGCTCACTGAAATCTGAACACTTTTCTGAGAGCCCGCAGCACGTAATGCCATTACAGTGAACTTCATGTGTGTCTTAATCAAATTTGTTTTAGAGATTAACAAGTAGCATAGGAATTAAATTTGAAAAATCTAGGAGGCATCTGCGAATCTTCTGGAAATGAAGAGTTTTGAATCCCGACTTCCATGCCTCATAAAATGTACTTAGAACCAGATCAGCGGAAATATTAATTATCTCGAGCTGGGAAGTGTGACAGCCTCAAATATGCAATAAAGGTTATTGTGATTGAACACTACCGCAGACCTCAGGAAATCCTGTTTTTATTTGTACTTGGGAAAAATCCAGCCTGGCTTTAAAAGTCATAGTACCAGGGGCGCCTGGGTGGCTCAGTCGGTTAAGTGTCAGACTTCAGCTCAGGTCATGATCTCACCGTCATGAGTTTAAGCCCCACCCCGAGCTCCGCGCTGACGGCTCAGAGCCTGGAGCCTGCTTCAGATTCTGTGTCTCCCTCTCACTCTGCCCCTCCCTAGCTCGTGCACTCTCTCTCTCTCTCTCAAAAATAACAAACATTAAAAAAAATTATTTTTTTAATGTACCAGAATTCTGAAAATGTCCAAGATGGCTTACGAGAGGCAACTGTTACCGATTTCACTGATAGTGCTTTCCTCACTGTCCTGGCCGCTGGGCCACTTACAATCAAATCTGCTGCTGTCCTCTGGCAAGGTGAGTCCTGGAGCTGGACAGTGCGCATACTCGCTCACCCTTGGCTCCCTCACTCTCCCTCCCCAAATTCCAAAACCCATGTTTTCATAGGTTCTTTTACACTGTAAGTATTTTCAGATTCCTAAAATCCTACAGATACTCAGTTAAACGTAGTTCCTGAGAATGAATGACAAATTAAGTAAACTTCCAGGAATCAAAGAAAAGAAAGTATGGGAAAACACGTCTAAGGGAGTAGGCAGCTTGCAAGGACAAGGAGCTTCATAATTATGGGCTTGCTCTTTCCAACATGACTCTTGGTATTTTACGCCTGCACATTTTTTCCGTAAAGGGTCAAATAGTAAATATTTTGGGCTTATAGACCGCATACAGTCTCTGTCACACATTCTTCATATCCTTTTTAAAACTGAAAAACAAAACAAAACAAAACCCCAACCCTTGGAAGATGCAAACCCCATCGTCAGCTCCCGAGCAGTACAAAGAACGGGCAGTGGCCGCCGCTCACAGCCCTGTGTCATGGGAATGTTAACTCAGCTATACGGACTGCCCTTTGCACGTGGAGCCCTTCACTGCTGCTCGTTGTCTGCCTGGTGATCCATGGGAGGGGGACTCTGCGATTCTCACTCACCTAGCAAACGAGGAGGCTCGGAGTAAGACTAGTGCAAGCAAGACACATGTGACGATGACCTCCAGCAATCCTGGTGACCAGTTCCTAACATCCGGAACAAGACTCTGTCTCCACGACTAACTAAGGAAATCGGACCATTTCGTAAAGATCAACACAGATTATTTAAAGGCTTAATTAAAAGGACAAACCCACTCCTGCCATCAGCAGGGCTCAGAATGCACCTGTGGTGCCATGCTTGCTGATCGAGACCTCAGCCGCCACCACAGGCCAGACTTAATCCGGCGACGGAGGGAGGCCAGGGCGTCCCCCGGTGGGAGAGAATACGTAGCCTTCCCTGCAAAGGGCATCGGTTGGCTCCCAAGGGAAGGTGAGGACCTTCTCCAAAAATGGGTCCTGTTAACTTTTTCAACTTGGCTGCCCCTTCCACGAAGAGCGCATGAAGACCTGAAAAAATGCCTGGGTTCCCAAAAAGCCAGCCTGCAACTAATCCTGGATATCACAGCAGTGCTTTCAGACACCACCGCCAGTTCAAAGGGGAGCAAGCTGATGGTCACAGATGTGGATGCCCTTTCACCGTCTTTCTCTCTCACTCCCCACCTCTTTGGAGTGTCTCCTACTCTTTGATGGCCCACAGCTTCATGGACCGAATGGCGGCTTTCCTGCCACCGGGATGGTGGGGCCGAAAGAAAAGAGAATGGCAATGTCAGGGCAGGCCGGGAGCCACAGTACCACCAGACCCGCCGCTCTCCCCAGCGAGCACAATGGCATAATAGTCACTCCCCAGCTGAGCCCAGGCGAGGACAGAGACCGAATTCATGCTCTGTCCTCAACCACCAGAGGAGGAAGGAAAAAAACAGCGCTGAGGTCATTCACGAAACACTGCCGTGCCCTGGGTCTTGAACCATATATTTTCCCATATGGCCTTTCTTAAAAAAATGCACTCATTCTTCAATGAACATGCTTATCCTGAGATGTATGATGTACGTATTTAGGGGATGTATTCTCAAATGCATGCATATACATGAGGGATGACAGGCGAGAGCTTTGTTATTTTCAACGAGAAAAGCCGAACTATTTTCCATGAAATTAAGAACTTCCACAAATAAGTAACGCGGCTTTATCAAAAGGTAGTGATGTCGTATACTTTTAACAGCATATTTATATTCCTATAAAAACAGGATACAGGACATGTCGTCCCAACCAATAAGACAAAAACACAAATTCCTCGCAAACAATAATGTACACTGCAACTGGACCTTCCTCTCTAGTCTCCTTTTCCTTTTTTTTTTTAACGTTTTATTTATTTCTAGGAGAGAGAGAGAGACAGCGTGAGCAGGGGAGGGTCAGAGAGAGAGGGAGTCACAGACTCTGAAACAGGCTCCAGGCTCTGAGCTGGCAGTCAGCACAGAGCCCGACGCGGGGCTCGAACCCACGAACCGCGAGATCATGACCTAAGCGAAAGTCGGACGCCCAACCGACTAAGCCACCCAGGTGCCCCTCTAGTCTCCTTTTCCAATAGAATTCTGAACATTAAACACCTGAAAACTCACTTGCTTTGATTTTTTTGCATAGAAACCCATTAAGTCAATCGTTAATGCGCTGCCTAAAGGCCCTGCAGTCAACCCTTTCTGATTAGGCTCCCAGTGACCGGGCTCTCTGAACCCGGTACTTTGGGGGGTCTGATTTAGGCCTTCAGTATATGTTTCAGGGTAGAAGGGGGTCCGGTAGAGACTGGGCAGAATAAGTGAAGGTACAATGAGAACAGTAAATTATGTAAATTGGGTCGTGTGGTTCTAAGGGATTTCTGTATCTGCAGTAATAACTCACTCAGAGAAGATATCTTCCAATAACGCAGGTACCAGTAGGAACTTCCTCAACCAAGATAATAAAAGGAGGTTTTCTGACAGCATGGCTTCTGCCCCCAACCCCCAGCTGCCCGAGGGCAACCTCAATGGCCACACGGTGCCCTCATGGGCTCCCTCCTGTGGCTTAGCGTGGTCCCTGCTGGGTATTGTATTGTGGACATCAAAGATGGCTGAAGGCACGCCTGGGTGGCTCAGCTGGTTAAGTGTCTGGCTTGGGGTCAGGTCATGATCTCACAGTTCATGGGTTCCAGCCCCGCATCCGGTTGTGTGCTGGCAGCTTGGGGCCTGGAGCCTGCTTTGGATTCTGTGTCTCCCTCTCTCTCTCTGCCCGTCCCCCACTCACACTCTGTCTCTCAAAACTAAATAAACATAAAAAAAAAAAAAAAAAAAAAGATGGCTCAAGGCCGAATGGTCTTCTCCTACCCTCAGGAGTCCAGGCTCTACGTCTCGGCCGGACACAGGCCTCTTACAAGGGCACACGCCACTGAGTTCAGAAAGCCCGTACCTCTCTGTCTATAACGACTATCATTAAAACTGATGGGCGAGGGAGCCAAAAAAGTTTTATTTCCTTTTCATCCCTTCAACCCCAAACCCCAATTTCCTCTCTCCTGGTTGATGCATTGAGAAGTAATGTCACAAAGGAGGCACTGCACGGGGACGGACAGAGACTGAAAGGATGTAGTTAGGCGTTCTTAAAACAAAACAAAACAAAACAAAGAACATTCCACACACAGAATAGCATTGTTTAATATGTCAGCAGGGTGATGGACTTGTGAGTGGATTTATCTGCAAGTTCACCAAATCCCCACGTGGCTAACATCAGAATCTTAAGTGAATACGAGGCCACTCAAAAACAAAGTTACCCGGTGACTTGCGAGCGACAGGCAATGGGGGCGGTTGAAAACTGGGGTCACTAAGAAGGACATAATAGTAACAGCTCAAAAGAGGAAACCACCCTGCAAGCGTATCCATCATGTATCAAAACCTAGCCTGACTGTAAAGGCATAAAGGTTGAACAGGCGGCTTATGCAAGTTCAGAGCAAGTTCAGAGCGTATCAGCAAAAGCCATGCCTAGTTTAAAGTGGTGAAAAACACCAGTAGATTTCAGGAGCTCTATTTCAAGTATAAACACATACATGGTAAATTCCATTCCATTTCATCGCTGTCTTTTCTGAATTTACACAAGCTGGATGCCAGGCTTGATCTCATGAACCACGTGAAATCATGACCTGAGCCGAAATCAAGAGCCAGAGGCTTAACCAACGGAGTCACCCAGGCGCCCCACTAACATGTTTTCAAAACTATTTTCGGGGCGCCTGGGTGGCTTAGTCGGTTAAGCGTCCGACTTTCGCTCAGGTCATGATCTCGCGGTTCGTGGGTTCGAGCCCCGCGTCGGGCTCTGTGCTGACTGCCAGCTCAGAGCCTGGAGCCTGTTTCAGTCTGTGACTCCCTCTCTCTCTGACCCTCCCCTGCTCATGCTGTCTCTCTCTCTCCTAGAAATAAAACATTAAAAAAAAATTTCAAAACTATTTTCATCTGATCTTTGATCAACTGCAGTTAGGCCGTTTCGTCACTTGTCCAACTGTTCTATGGCTGGATTTCCTGTGGGAGAGGGGGCGCTCTAAGAGTTCCGCACCTAGTTTGTAATACCTTCTGCCTCCACTCTGGCCTTAACTGTTCAATTCCACCACTTCCCCCTATTCTCATCTCACCCCTTAAATGCTGGATCCTAAAAAACAAAATAAGCCTTCATCGTCTGCCGAACAGTTTTAGAATGAAAATTTGTCTCTGGAGCTTTCATTTGTATACCTCCCCAGGACAGCTACAAACACAGATCTGTGTTTGTACACCGTACTGTGAACCTGCCTTTGGTTACACCATCCCAAGTTACTAACCCATGATCTTTAAAAATACATGGTATCCGTTTCCATTGCCATCCCGATGGGGCTGCTATAAACTGTGTTATAGAAGTTGTATTTGTAAAGGTTACCTCCAGCCCAGAAATCCTGGAAACCCTGAGTAAATAAACCCAGAAGTGTTATTAATCTTTAGTCTAGACTTTCGAGTAATGTTGTTCTGACTTGCGGTGCAAAACGGCTGAATACAGAACCCAGCCTAGGAAACAACTTTAAAAATCATTCCTGAAAACGATACAGTTGCTCGGAACCACGTGATCTATACTAAGGGACTCCTAGGATTTCAGAGCTAACGGGTACGTCTTCGGTCCCTGGCTCAACTCCACTTCGTTACCGAGGAAGAAAAGTGAGCAAAGACGTTCTCCACCTTCACAGATAAGGCGCCTAAAAGACCACAGGTGCCAAATGTTCCCCAGGTAACTTTCACCAAAATGTCTGATCTCCCACAGAGGTCAAGGTGTGAGGTGAAGAACGAAAACGCCAAGTTTTGAGTAGACGGGCCAATACTGCAGGCACCCCTCCAAGGATGAGGCTGCCGTGGGCGGCACGGCCCAAGTCCGTATTCACTTTCCGGACCTGGCTTAACCACAGCGTTACTCGGCACCTCGGAATCACGGGGGGGAGCTTTAATAAAAACACCGATGCCTGGGCCCCACTTCCAGAAACTCGAATTTAAACGGGCTGGGATGGGGGCCCGGGCATCAGGGTTCTTAAAAGTCTTCCGCTGATTCCGAAGCGCGGCAGAACTGAGTCTCTGGAACCGGTTCTCCGTCACAAGTGAACCAGCAGTGACAGGAATCTCACGGGCCCCGCGGGATGATGCTAAGTACGACAACGGGGCAGCCAAGCCCTCGGCTCTCCCGGCATCAGAAGAAGCCAGGTTCCGGGGCCTCCAGGCTCCTCCCTCACTCCCCAAAGGAAACCCAGCAGTCCCCGGAGTCACCTCGTGGGCTCGTAGCTTGCTGATCGCGGGCGGTGGGCGAACATGGACCTACTTCCTGTGAGGAGAACGAAGGGGCGCGGGCGGGAGGGGCTGTTGCCCGGGAGACCAGAAATGCACTTCCGGCGCGGGTCACGTGAGGCGCGCCGCCGGAAGTCTCGGGCTCGCCGCCGCTGACGCCACGTCCGCGCTGCGTTCTACGCCACGTGGGGAACGGTCGCGAGATGAGGCTCCACCTCCTGGGGCGGAGCGTCGGGGTGGCTGGAGGAGGGCGGGGAGGACGGGGTGGGACTCCCGCGTCCCCAGCGCCAGGTGGGGCGGCTGTACCTGCGCCGTTCCGTGTGGCGGCGCCGGAAGAGGAGGGTCGTTTCTGCACCCCTTTGGCCCCGCGCCGCTGTCTCGACTTTCGACTTTTCGCCCTTCTCTCAGCTCTCTCGTCTTCCCCCTCCTGTCTTTAGATAGCCTTTCCTATTTTTTAAAAAACTAGCAAGGCGAAAGGTCGTGGCCCAGGACACGCCCAGCCTTTGGAAACAGCCACCCGAATCTAGTCCGAGTGCGATCCTAGCCTTTAGCTTATTAACCTTGCGAGCCGCCTCGGGCTCTCGCGCATAAGATGCGCACAGTCCCCAGCGCACCGTGCCTCGTACGACATAGCCGACCGGAATGAGTACCTATTAACACCGTTTGGATCACGATCATTATCAGCAACAGCCGCCCTGTTAGCCTCGCAGGGATTCATTAATAACCGAGCAAAACCCACTGGGGTAATTTGGAAAACCACGGCAATAACCCTGAAAGGGGGAATACTTTTGTCCTAAAATTTTCACTTCTGGGAATTTATTCCGAGGGAAGACAGCCGTTAAGCCAGGTGTTCTTTGCAGACTTATTTTTAAAAGTGAAAGCCAAACAAATATAAATGCCTTAATAGGAGGAGAGGCCTAAGTCCGTTAGGCTCTACCCATGGTGTGGATGCTATGACCACGTTATTCCTCTGCCACAGAAGAATCACGCAGTATAGAAGATTAACAAATACGTCATGGATGTCTGCTATGTGTGAGGGATTATTCTACATCTGCGTTGTCTCTCGAAGCCAGGAGACACACCTGGCTGTTGCGAGCTTGCAATGTGGTAGTTTGAACTGAAGTATGCTGTGAGGGTAGATCACACAGTGGATTTTGAAGAATTACTATGAGACAAAGGATGTAAAATACCTCACTTTACTGGTAATAACATGTTAGGGAAGGACTGTTTAGATAAAATGAGATTAAAACGAATTTCACCTTTGTCTTTTCGCTGGGTTAATGTGACTGCTAAAACATTTACAATTTTTATTTATTTATTTTTGAGAGAGAGAGAGAAGGTGAGTAGGGGAAGGGCAGAGAGAGACAGGGAGACAGAGAATCCCAAGCACGAGTGGGATGCGGGACTCCAGCTCAAGACCTGTGTGCTCTTGACCTGAGCGGAAATCAGGAGTTGGAGGACGGACCAAGGGAACCACCCAGGCGCCCACTGCTAGAACATTTGAAATGAACTGTGTTCTGTGCGTCATATGTTTATATATTTCTGTCGGACAATGGTATTCTATTTACCAGATATACAGTGGTGAACAAGACAGGTTTTGACCTCATAAAAGTAACACTCTGTTGAGTAGAGCATAGACAATAAACAGATAAATAGTGTCCTTGTATATATCAGTTAAATGAAGAACATAAAGCGGGGTAAGGGCCGGAAACGGTGTGTATATTGAGGGGAGTTATTTTAGACGGGACTCTTGCTCCCCTGTTTAGAAAATGGACGTGGGCGGAATGAGACGTCTGTGGATAGAATGGGAAGGCCGTGGCAGGAGTGTGGTGGCTTCTGGGCCCGGACAGATATGGATTGAGGCTGACCAATCAGTTGAGCCTCGTGGAATCTCTGCCTTAGGGCAGAAACCACATCCGGGGAGGAAGGGAAGAGAGAAGAGGGGTAAGATAGCAGGTCGAAAGAGCTCAGGGGGTCCCGTGTGAGGGGCAGAACAGAGCAGGCTGCCAGTGGACAAGTCTCGGGCAGTTAGCAGAGAAGTAGGAGTAAGTATGCTGTTAAATAGGATATTACTTTGCTGTCACGGAGACCCAGAAGGAGAGTGGCTCAAACTCTTGAAAATCTATTTCTGTCCCTCTGGGTGTAATAAGGTGTCCAAAGGTGGGGCCAGGGACTCCGATTTCACCTCTCTTGTAGCTCCATGCTCCCTGGTTTGTTGCCTGGGCCCACGTGGTCAAAGATGAGACACCACTGTACCTTTCTTCCAGCCAGTGGGAAGGAGGGGGAGGGGAAGCTGGGCATGCCCCTTCCCTCTAAGGTAGGGTTTTCTACCTGGGCACAGTTCATATTTGGGGCTGGATAGTTCTGTGTTCTTTTTTGAGGCTTTTTTAAGCACTGTAGGATTTGAGTCGCATCCTTGGCCTTTACCCGCTAGATGACAGAGGCATCCTCCAGTAGGACAACCAAGAATGTTTCCAGAAGTTGCCAAATGTCCCCCGGAGGGCACAGTCCCACTGGTGGCCAGAAATTCATCAATCAGCCATCCTAAGGGCAAAGGAGTCTTGGAATTGTCTGCTGGCCAGGTGTCCAGCTAAAAGTTCCTGAAAGGAGGCAACAAGATGCTAGAAGATTCTCCCGTCCCCTTGTTGCCGCAGGGAATGGAAACTCCGCAGATGACCGAAGACGTGACCGTGTTCTTTTCATCTTCCAGACTGTTTTAGTCATTATTCATTTAAAAAAATGTTTATTTTTGAGAGAGAGAGAGAGTATGTGTGAGATGGAGGAGGGGCAGAGAGAGGGAAACAGAGGACTCGAAGCAGGCCCTGCACTGACAGCAGAAAGCCTGATTCAGGTCTCAAACTCATGAACCATGAGATCATGACCTGAGCTGAAGTCAGACGCTTAGTCGGCTGAGACACTCAGGCGCCCCTAGTCATTATTCATTTTTTTCTAAAGTTTATTTGGGGCGGGGGAGCGGAGGGGTAGAGAGAGAGGGAGAGAGAAAATCCCAAGCAGGTGCTATGCTATGAGCACAGAGCCTCACGAACTGTGAGATTATGACCTGAGCCGAAATCAAGAGTCGGACCCTTAACCGACAGAGCCACCCAGAAGGCGCAGTCATTATTCATTTTAATTCATTTGCATAAACATATTGGTGGTGGGAAACACTGCGTACCTAAAAAGTGAGGCTCCCGTTTGAAAAGGATGGGCGGTGTTACCCCAGATGGCTGACCAGAGAAAGTGGATTCTGAAACGGAGGCGGCGGGTTGGATTTTCTCCTTGTGTTATATCGCCATCTGGTGGACGTTTGTAAATCCTACCATTCTTCACTCCCTCTTGCCTGAGATGGTCTTTCACTTGCTTGGGCGGACACCTCAAATTATAAATAACCTTTACGTGGGTTTTAGCAAAACCTTAAGGGTCCTTGCGGACGAGGAGCTCTTTAAATTAGGGTTTCTCACCCTCGGCAGTACCGGCTTTAGGCAATGGCCTCTGTAGATTCCCTTGCCGTCGGGGATTTAAAGAAACTCTACATCCACTTCCCCGGCCTTCTGGGGATGATCGCGCTCGGTGTGGGACGCCATGGCTCATCTTCTGGGGGCTTTTTGGGTGTCCCCACCGCCGGGCCCCCTCTGCGGCCTGAGTGTTGTGGAGAAGCTGGTGAGGAGCCAGCCGCCTTGCCTGGGTGCAGTGAGCCGTGCTGAGGCACCCGCAAACAGTCCTCTGAGTTCCTACCTGGGAGCTGCATGAAGGAAGGGCACTGAAACATTTTTAAAAATGTGTATTTACTTTTTGGAAGAGATTGAGAGACACAGTGCGAGCAGGGGAAGGGACAGAGAGAGAGGGAGACACAGAACCTGAAGCAGGCTCCAGGCTCTGAGCTGTCAGCACAGAGCCCGCTGTGGGGCTCGAACTCCCAAACCGGGAAGATCATGACCTGAGCCGACGTCAGATGCTCAACCAACTGAGCCACCCAGCCGCCCCAAAGATGGTCATTTTAGATGTGAAATGTTGGGGTTTGGGGGCGAACGGTCAAGAAAGAATTCTTGAGACGTCTTCGGTGCAAAACTGGTGGTTTTATGAAAGGCCGGGGTGGGGCAGGACCCGTGGGCAGAAAGAGCTGCACGGGGGGTGTGAAGAGCGACTGATTATATACTTCTGCGTTGGGAGGGGGTGTGGGAGGGCCTAAGTCTCTAAGTAAGGAATTTGGGAGCAGGGTTTCCAGGACCTCGAGGGCTAGGTGCCGTTAGGAAAAGGCCATTTAGTACTAAAACCTCAGTCCTGACACGCTTCAGATGTGTATCGGGGGCCATATGCTTGGAGGATGATGGCTAACATATTATCTTCGGGGGTGGAGATAAAGGAAGTTTCCAAAGGAATTTTTATAAGGAAAAGGAGATTTACAGGATCCGGGAGGTTGGGCTAATGTCAAGCTAAGGTTGCCTTTCGCCTGTAGCAAAGCCTTCACACTGAGGCCGCTGAGCCCCGGGGGAAGGTCACCCTGCGGGTCTCAAGGACTTGTCCATGGGCTGCAAGTTGGAAGATTTCATGTTTTCTACATTTCTTTATTTTCTTTATTTTAATTTTTTAGTTTTTTTCTACATTTCTTTTGCGTTTGTTCTCTACATCAAGGCTCCCAGGAGCACTGACTCCCCCTGAGGGCCCCTTCTGAGTTTCCTGGTCTCCTTGAGCTTTGCCCCCCCCTCCGGACCCTTCCTTCGCGCCCCCCCCCCCCCCCCCCCCCCCCCCCCCCCCCCCCCCCCCCCCCCGCCACTCCGGACAAAAATGCAAATAAATGACCGGGGCGGGTGTGTCCTCACCTCCAAACGCAGCGCCCTCTGAGCTCCACGCTCACCTGGCCTCTTGTTTTAGAGGAAGAGGGATCCTGGCTTCAGTTTAGGCCGATCCACGCTCCTGTTCTCTGGATCCAATCCTGCATCTTCGGGGGTGGCGGGGGTGGGGGTGGGGGGTGGGGGGAGGGCACTTTTCCTTCCCCAGCCCCGTCCCCATTAGCATCAGCCTTGCTCGGCCTCTCCGATCTTTACAGTTGTGTTGGTTGATTTTTCACCTCTCTCTCCTTCCTATTC